ATAGGGGAGCAGAGAAAGGATCCCCCAAAACATGGCTCAGACTGGATCTTCTACCAGGTTAGCACCTGAAGCAAGCCTTATTTAATCGACTTTAAAAAAAAAGAGAGATGTAAAAATGTTCTGGGTATCTTTGTATGTCAGCATATATCCCTGTGCTTGGTATCTCCAGGTTGGGACCTTCAGCCTGAGGGTTCTGAAGACCTTGATGCTGAGAGTAGGGTTCGGGATGCAAAGATGTCTCCTTCTCCCCAAATACTGCAGTTGTCCTAAATCCAAGGTTTTCAGGTTCCACATGGCTTTCCCTGATTGAGACAGAATTTAGGAAATCATCCAGGTGCGTGGTTTCCTCTGCAAAAACGCTGCTGACTTAAGTCCTGATATCTGACACACTTGGTTTTATTTATTGCACTACTGGGGATTGAACCCTGGAGCATTCTACCACTGATCTACAGCCCCTGACCTTTTTAGATTTTATTTTGATACAGGGTTTCACTAAGTTGCTGAGACTAACCCCGAACTTGTGACCCTTTTGCCTCAGCCTCCTGAGTGGCTTGGATGACAGGCCACTACTCTTGGCTCACTTATTTTGTACACTTCCTCTTCCCTTGACCAAGTTTGTCCTATGAGCTTCAGATGTTTAAAATGGAATTTAGCAATGCTTTCACACCACATTTTTCATGACTTGAATTTAAAACTTGGAAGCAGAGTTGTTTTGTTATAAGGCTTGTATTCTTCTGAACCTCCTCTGCACACTGGAAACCTCCCATGATGGAAATGAGTTTACTGTGACCTGTGTCAGTAGCATATGATAAACACACACTTCTTAAAAAAGACTATTTACATGGAGCATAAACGAGGTCCAGAACACTGTGTCCTGTTCAAAAAATGAAATGCACATCTCTCATCAGGAGTCTCTCATTTCCAAAAGGCTGAGAAGACAGTTTGTGAATGATAATCCAGCTGTTTAAATTTAGGGCCGTGGAAAGTTTCATTGGAACTGAATTTGAGGGTGCGGCCTCTTGGTGGTTGGGTTTGTTCTCCTCAGATGTCACAGCTCAGCAAGGACGAAGAGCACATCTTTCCTTGAATCCTGAGCTTCAGAGATGTTTAAGGAACATCTTGGTCATTGATTACACAGGGGATGCTAATATTGTGTTAAGCCGAGTGCCTTCCGCCTTCCGTCTGGCCTTCCTTTCTTACGCTCTCACAACCTTGACTTTTCAGCTCAATTTATAACTTACTTGACATAAAATATCATTAGCAAGTCTAATGGAAAATTCCAGTGAAGGAGAGAACCCGCCTCCACTATGGGATGGTTAGCTATTAATTAAAGCTGACACATGCCCTCCGCGCTACCCTCCATGATGTGTGTGACAGATCAAGGTTAGTATCAGATGCCTGCGGAGGCAGCTTTTCCAGGATGGGCTCTTTCTCCACGTCACTATTGGACGTCACCCAAGTGCATTTTTTTTTCTCCTTGTGTTTATGTTTTATAAGGTGTTGCCTCTTAGCAGTCGGAACGCCAGCTGGCTGCAGAGTGCAGAGGTGGTGGAATAGTGTACCAGCTCCCACGGGGCTCTCAGGGTGACCAGAGGACTCCAGGCTGGGACATGGTTGCAACAGGTCTCTCCAAGATGACATCTGGGCTTCTGAGCGAGCTTGGAGGAAAAGAAAAGATTTCTGTTTTCAAATTCTTCTACTAAAAATGAATTCCTTGGGCTGGGGTTTTAGCTCAGTGGTCGAGCGCTTGCCTCACATGCATGAAGCCCTGGGTTCCATCCTCAGCACCACATTAAACAAATAAAGATATTGTGTCCATCTACAACTAAAAAAATGTTTAAAAAAATGAATTCCTTTGACTTGTTCTCTTTGGAAATGTGTGTGTGTGTGTGTGTGTGTGTGTGAGAGAGAGAGAGAGAGAGAGAGAGAGAGAGAGAGAGAGAGAGAGAGGGAGAAAGAGAGGGAGGGAGAAAGTTTTGCTTCCATTTATAAAAAGTGGTGTTGTATGATATACACATTTTTATCCTCTCTGCCCCCCACCTTTATTTTTTTGGTACCAGGGATTAAACCTAGGAGTGCTTAACCACTGAGCTAATCCCTAACCCTATTTATATTTTATTTAGAGACAGGGTCTTGCTAAGTTGCTTTGGGCCTCACTAAGTTGCTGAGGCTGGCCTTGAACTTGCATTCCTCCTACCTCACTCTCCAAAGTTGCTGGGATTATAGGCATGTGCCATCATGCTCAGCTACCATTTTTCCTCTTAAAAAAGTCATCATGTAGTGAACACCTTTTCTGTCTTATAAAATATCTATGTCTGTCAAAAATTGTTTAAATAAATTGTCTAGTCTCTAGTTTTATACTGGGCTGAGCATCTTTGTAGTTAGACCCTATTAATTATTAATTTGGAATATGCTGCATATTCTTGGAGAGGAGCAATACCAAACCCATGTGCTTGAAGGTCCAGTGACCCTGATGGCCTTTTCTGCAGCCCACAGGGGCTGACTCGCGACCACCCCACCAACGGGATTAGTACCCACCCCCCCACCTGACCCATGCTGTGCTTTCTTGGTCTGTCCTTGTTTCCCTTTGAGGCTGTGCTTGACTTTAAGAATAGCTTCTGTGTAAGAATGTTGGCCCTGGTGGGACAAGGAGTCCTTAGTGACGGAGCAGGGCCAGCAGGAGAAACTGGCTCCAGAGGACACAGCCACTGCCCCCACGGGGTCCTGATCTGAGACGCGTTCATAGAACAGCAACTCACGGACCTCTTGTTCCTCCAATTGGAGCCCAGCCCTGACCCTAGGGAGGCTGCAGCCCGGGGCAGTGATGGCAGAAGAGGTGTTACCAGAGAAAAATGGGACTGGGAAAAACTTATCCTACAGAGATGAGATATTGACTCAAATTTATCACCCCAGTGAGGATTTTTTTGGGGACTCGATGGCTGTACTTGAGGTTTGGTTCATGGTACCAGCCTTCTGCAGGAAAGGTGTGGCTGTCAGCACCTTCACGGGTCAGAGGAGAGGTTTCCTGCAGACCCCTTGGGGCTGGCAAGAAGTGAGCCCATTTGGATGTCTCTGAGGGCTAGGCCACCTGTCTGGTCCGTGTGCTGATGGAATCTAGTGCTGGTCTCCTTTCACCTCGTAACTGCACACAACTCCAGCCAATCAGAGGCTGCATACTGGTGCTAGTACACAGTGTGTCTGCGGTACTTCGTGGGACCCAGCACTATTCTTTGATTTATTTGATCCTCATAAAGGTCCTGGGAGGAGTGCTGTCACTAAAGTCCACCCCACTGTGGGGACACAGGCACCCAGAGGCAGGAGCGGTGGCTTATCGGTGACAGAGCTGGCCTGGCCCTGGTGGCTGCTTCCTCCAACTCAGCTCTTTTCCCTGCAGAGCCTTCAATAGTCATTATTTTCATGAGTCACACCAAAGCCTCTTTGCAAGATATGTGGCCTCTCCATGCCTCAGAACGTGGGGTGAGTCAGGAAGTGATTGCTGTCACCCCTGCAGAGTGAACTTGCCCCCAATGTACTCACTCCTCAGCTACTGGACTTCATAACAGGTGGGCAGACAATGCAAGTAGCTACAGTGCAGACTGCCTCCTGTGGGGGAAATTGACAGACCGGCAGTCCACAGGCCACTGAATTAGAAATCCAGAGCTGGCGAGGGGGATCAGCAGCGGTTGTGACAGAGAAGCTGCAGTATGGTCCCTTGGCCAAACTCTCTCTTGAATGCCTTTAATGTGCACCTAGCAGCCTTCTCTCAGCTTCCAGGGAATAGACCTCACCGTCATCCTGAGTTAGTCTACCTCCTGATCCTGGCACCAGACTCTGTGTGTCCATCTGTCCAGCCAATCTGCAAGTGTCTTCAGTTGCTCATTCAATATCTGCTGTTGATTCCTTCCTTAGTGCCAGGTGCTGTGTGAGGTCACGGGGACATACCGAGAAGCATGACAGCCCAGGACATCTGTTGGGATGCTAAGCCTCGTGTCCATGCAGCAGAGAATAGAGTTTGATGACATATTCTGTGTTTGGACTTCAAGATGGAAATTGAACAAATACTGAGTGATTTTAGAAAGAATGTCTGTGCAGATTGTTTGTTCTCCCCAGTCTCTCAGCTTAGGGAGCAGAACGTGATGTCAGGAAGGGGGCTCACTAGTCCTCCCGCCAGGCCCCTGGTTTTTCAGAAACCTGAGGATATCTCAGGCTGAGAAAGGACGTCCTCCTCAGATGGCTCAGAGAGGCCCACAGGCAGAGATCTGAGTTGTTCAGATCAGTGCTTAAAGTGGAAAGGCTCCCCCCGCCCCAGCACGGCTAACCAGGCAAAGCTACAGGAACCTGAAACACAGACTTGGTGAGACCTCAAATTCTTTTCAACTAAAGTTGTGGCCAAAGAAACAGGGTAGAGAGCTGGTTGAAGCTCTTCCCTCTCCCTCTCCTTTCCTCCCTCTCTCCTCCTTCTCCCCGTCCCCCGGGGCAGAGAATGGCCAGGAATCATGGGCTTTGAAAGTGCCCATTACAGAAATGCTATATTATTGCCCAGGGGAAGGACAACTATGGCTTTGCCCACCAGAATTTTGCTAAAAAGATTCATTTTAGATCAGAGAAGTTGAAACAAAAGGGGAGTTTACTAGCTTCTAATTTTACTTGTCCTGGAGGAATCATGTGGGTGTAACTGCTAGGGTAAGGGTCAGTGCTGGAAATACCTTTAGGGCCCTTCTGATGACTCTCCAGTTATGGCCGCCAGTGAGCAGCTGCCTCACATTACCCCCTGGGATTATGAACCCAAGTGCTGCTGCCCCCCAGCCTAGGTACATGAGGCCCAGTGGTTACTGCATGACAAGTGAAGCAAAATGGCCAAGGACATTTTCATGCGAACTTTGCCAGCTGTTTCTTGATAATAATCTCAGGAAGCGCATGTGTGTGCACACACACATAGCCTTCATTCTGCAGGATCTGCATCTGCAGATTTAACCAAATGCAGATTGAAAATACTGAAAAACTTACATCTGTACTGAACCCAATGACTTACACAGTATTTACTTTGTATTAGATATTACAATCATCTAGAAACGATTTAAAGTTTCTGGCAAATGCTATGCCATTTTTATACAGAGCATTTGAGCGGCCCAGGATTTTAGTATCTGCAGGGCAACCGGGAAACAGTGCCCACTGGATACCAAGAGATGACAGTATAATCTATCTTTTCTTATCTGTCAATCATCTATCTATTATCTGCCACTCTATGTTTTAGAGGAAATAAAAGCTCAGTTTCAGAGGACCAGAGGAATTCACGCCTGAGCTATGGGGGTCAGTGACGAACACAAGATAGCTCCTCTATTCCTAGAGCACATTCTCCTTCACGCAGGACTCTCCGGGCTGCTTGTTCCTGCCAGGGTTCTTGCTGATGTGAAGAGTCTCTAGGTACATTATGCCACACTTGATACCAGCTCTAAAGGTTGGCATGTCCCCTGTCTCCCGTCTTCAATAAGGGCATCCCCCCATAGCAGAGAGGCTTGTAGGAATAAGAAGCTCCCCTCTCAGGTCAGGACTGGGCCAAGAGACCATGCGTCTCAGTCCATTTTGGCTGCTGTGACAAAATACCTTAGCCTAGATAATTTAGGAACAACAGGGATTTATTGCTCACAGTTCTGGAGGCGGAGCAGCCCAAGATCAAGGTGCTGGCAGATCAGGTGTCTGGTGAGGGTTTACTCTGCTCCAGAGATGGCACCTATTGCAGTGTCCCACATGGAAGGAGGGACAGGAAGCTCCTTGGAACCTCTCTTGAGGTCCCTAATCCCACTCATAGGGGTGGGCCTTCATGACTTTGTCACTTCCCAAAGACCCACCTCCTATACTATCATTTTGGGTAGTAAGTTTCCACATACAAATTTGGGGGTATACCCAGGTCCCTCAGATGGTAAATAGGTCAACAAACTAAGGTCTAACCGTAAAATGGAATAGTGTTCAGCAAAAAAGGAACAAATCATTATACACAGAACATGGATGAATCTCAAAATAATTTTGCTGAGTAAAATAAGCCAGATATATATAGTATTATTCAACTTCTGATTTCAAATGATGCAAACTTATCTACTGTGTCAGAAAGCAAATCATCAGTTGCCTGGGGTTGGGTGGTGGGTGTGGACTACAAAGGCGCATGAGGAAACTTTTGAGGGTGATGGATATGTTTGTATCTTGATTGTGGAGTTGGTTTCATGAGTGTATACATATGCCCAAATGTATCAAATTGCAGATCTTAATGATGTTTTGCATATCAACCATACCTCAATAAAGGCAAATAAGAAGAATATCTAAACTAGGGTAATCTGCAATATATATATATATTATCCTGGGGATTGAATCCAGGTGCTCTTTACCATTGAGTTCCATCCCCAGCCCTTTTTGTTTTTCATTTTGAGACAGTCTCACTAAGCTGCCCAGGCTGGCCTGAAATTTGAGGCCCTTCTGCCTCAGCCTGACTGGGATAACAGTCATGAACCACTGCAATGAATTTTAATAAGAGATGGGAAATGTCCACAAAATCAAATATTTTATACCATACAGATTGTTCATTAGTTCTCATGGGAAGGTCTTTCAAAAGAGTTACCGAACTTAAACATGAATTACCCCATTTTCTAATGTTAAAAAAACAAAACCGATTTTCAAATTTGCTGACATTTTCTGACATGGCAAGTTGTTCTTAGAGACACAATTCCTGGCAGATAGTTTTGAAAACCAAAAGTATAACAGAAAATGCACAACCTTGGCTGGGCACAGTGGTGCAGCCTGTAATCCCAGTGAGCCACAAGGCTGAGGCAGGAGAGTTGTAGATTCCAGACCAGCCTCAGGAACTTAGCAAGACCCTGTCTCAAAAAATTAAAAAGGCTGGGGATGTAGCTCATCAGTAAAGTGCTCTGCATTGAATACAACAAAACAAAACAAAGCACAGTATCATTCCTCATGGTTAAAGGAGACATTTTAACATTGAGAGTGTCAGCAGCTGTTTGTAAAAGAAACTTTAGATAGAGCATTTAAAAAATGAGTATGCAGAATTATTTCTTCCTATTATGTGATTTTGTTATTGAAAATGATGTTACTATTTTTAAAATTTCCTATTTTCTCCCTTCAAAAGTTGGAAGCAAAATTATCTAACTTGTTTAAAATGTTGTAAATTAAATTTGATGCATTCGATCTATTATTAAAATTATAAAATACATCACTATTTGCTTACTTTGCAAGAATAACTTATTGGCATCTGAGAGGATTTAAATTTGTTAACGGATTTGCTGGTTGTCCATAAGAAGATCTTGTGAAACTGGTGAATGAGATTGATAAGTGTGTAGTGGAATTTAGCAAACACAGCTAGTGGTATCTTTCTTCCATTTGGCTCTACTCATCTTTGTGAGCCACCATTTTCATTCTCATTCGGTGGCCACCTTCCCACCCACTGGGTGCTGCCCTCCCCCTACAACTAATGACCAGGATTCATGGGAATTGGTCTGGCTTGATGCTTGAACCCAGTCTTATTCTAAAGATGGATTATAATATTCAAATTCAGTGTGCTGGCCTGGGATTATGAGAGCAGTCTCAGGACCACAGAGGCTCTAAAACAATCAGTAATCACATTTGGACCTTGCGTTAGAATATGTGGTTAGGCTATAGTTTAATTAGGAGAATGTCAGCAGCTGTTTAATTAAATGGACTCCAAAAACAGCTAACACTCATGATGACTGTAAATTATCAATCAAGTCAGGGTGTTCTCTGCTATTGTGTGGATGTAAGTTGTTCCCCCAAATCTCCTGGGTTCATGCAGGAATGTTCAGAGGTGAAATGATTGTGGGAGCTGTAATCCAGTCAGTCCATCCCAGTTTGAACAGACTAGCTAGGTGGTAACTGGAGGCAGGTGGGGTGTGGCTGGAGGAGGGGATCACAGAGGGTGTTCCCTGGAAGGGTGCATCTTCCTTGTGACCCCTTCTCCCCTCTCCTTTCTGCTGCCTGGCCCTGCCATGAGCTGAGAAGCTTTCCTGTGTTGGCACCTTCTCACATGAGGTGCTGCCTCACCTTGGGCCCAGCATGATACAGTTGGCCAGCTATGAACTGAGGTCTCTGAAACCATGAGTCCCAAATACACTTTTCTTCCTCTAAGTTGCTCTTGTCAGGTATTTTGGTCACAGTGATGCAAAGCTGACTAACAGTCTGGAAAGCAGACTCTGGGACTCTAGTGCAGCTGATCACAGAAGACAAGAAATCTTATTACAGAGGACATAAAAGCAGCCATAAAAGCAGCCATCAAAACCTTCTTCAGGAGGGCATACCTGCAATCCCAGCTACTTAGGAAACTGAGACAGGAGGACTGCAAGTTCAAGGCCAGTCTGGGAAACTTAGTGAGAGAGCCTGTCTCAAAATAAAAAGAGATGGGGCTGTAGCTCAGTAGTGGAGTTCTTCCCTAGCATGCATGAGGTCCTGGGTTCAGTCCCCAGTGCCACAAAAAAGCATAAACCAAAATCTTCATTATGGGCTGATTTAAGAAGGTCAGAGTGATTCTGGGGGTTATTTTGCATCCAATAAGAACATCCCAAAATTTATAAAAGTAAGAAGTCAAGTAGAAACATTGTGATGTGCTTAGACTACTTCTTGACCTTGGCTGTACCTTCAAGTCACCTGTAGAATTTGCAAAAATTACTTTGGGGGCTGGACATGGGGGTAAACATCTCTAATTCCAGCTACTTGAAAGGCTGAGTCAGGAAAATTCTGAATTTGAGGTCAGCCTGAGCAACATAGTGATGTTCTGTCTCAAAATTGCTCAGTATGAGCAAGACCCTTGGTTTGATCCCTATAAACACATAAACACACACACACACACACACACACACGAAAACTAGTCAATAAAAAGAGACACCAAATTGAGCTAGATGTTGAATGTAGCAGACCAGTACTTAGAACAGCTAATATAAAAATATCCAAAGACTTAAAGGAAAATATTGTCCTCATGAATTAAAATATAAAGAATATCAGTAGAGAAATGGGACTATAAAAAAAGAACCAAATGGAGATCCTAGAACTAAGTGGTAAAATGAAAGTTTCACTGCAGAAGAAAGGATTAGTGAATCAGAAAATAGAACAAATGAAATGATCAAATCTGGCTAGGGATATAGCTCAGTTGTCTAGCATGTGTGAGGCCCTTGGTTCAAAGGCCAGCACCACATAGAAAGAAAGAAAGAACCAACTCTGAAGAAAGAGAAAATTTATTTTAAAAAAAACAAGCAGTGATTTGTTGACTTATGGGGAAATTTCCAGTAGCCTAATATACACGTAATTAAAATCCCAGAAGTAGAGACAATGATAGACAATTTTTTCAAAGAAACAATGGTCCCAAGCCCTGAAATTTGCTGACAAACATCAGTGTATAGATCTAAGATGCTTGGGGGAACCCCCAAAGGACAATAAAGAGAACTCCGCATTGCCTACCACAGGTAAACTACAGAACACAGCACTCAACAGCCACAGCATGAGGAGCCACAGAGAGGGACACAGCAATGGTGGACCCCAGCTTTGCTCCTGGCAACCACCTGAGTACTTGTTAAAATAAAAGTTCCTAGCCAGGAGCAATGGTGCACACCTGTAATTACAGCTAATCAGGAAGCTGAGGCAGGAGGGTCTCAAGCTGAGGGCTGATCTCAGAATAAAAAATAAAAAGGGCTAGGTAGTAGAGCACCCCTGGATTCAGTCCCCCAACACCCCCCACCACCAGCCACACACACACACACACACACACACACAGTCCCTGGCTCTATCCCAGACCAATTAAATCAGAATCAACTGGTCAACTGTGTGGTTAATAACAACCAGATAATTCTCACCATGGGGAAGTTAGGAAAGGGCTGGAATTCCCTCTTTACTGAGGTGTGGTCTACTGGTAACTGTCTTGGAAAATATGAGAGTAGTGTTTTCTCTGTGTGAAAAATTCAAAAATAATGCTGTTAAAACAAATGGTATTTTGCTTTTAAATGTTTCAGAACTTAACATGCTGAATATTCAAAAGAACTGGGCTTGCACAAATTCTATTTAGTGGGTGGGGATCTATAAAGCGATAATCAGCCATAATTTATGAAAACCTAGGATGCTAAAACCAGTGCATTTTGGATAGAATGTTCTAATTCAGGTTTCTTATCCAGTAAGTGTAGCTAAGCACCTCCATAGTAGGGCTTTTTCTTTTGTTAGAGCTGGAGAGAGGCCCATGATATTATGATTTCTTGACCAGCTGCACAACAGAACAAGAATAGATTTTCCTCTCATTTATGGGGATGTGCAGAAACAGGATTACCATTCCTAAGAAACATTTCCTTTAAAAGTATAACCAGGTCCATCAACACACACTGCAAAAGTACAACCAGGAGGAGAAAATATGTTAGAATATTTTTTTCAACTTTACAAAGGGGATTACTAAACCGTTTCTGCCTGGGAAGATAATGGCAGGAGTTGGAAGATCATTAGATAATTATTTAAGCCATTATTACAACCAACCATGACATCACTCTTCCCAGTATATTTCTGTATTCATTGCATTTCATGTTTTTTAGCTTAGGAGTAATCTGCTTGTAATTGCTAAGGTTGTCTGGTTTCAAGTTTCAGAAACCAACTCTAATTATTTTGAATGAAAAGGGAATTTATTGGAAGGAGGCCCGGGCATTTCAGGGCATCTGAAAAGGGCAGGACGTAAGAAGGCAGTACAGACCTGAACAATCGTGGGCCTTTTCTTTGGTGCACTGCCCTTGACCGACTTGTGCTAACAATTGCCAGTCTGTTCCTTTCTGTCTCTCTTCAAAACCCCAGCTTCCTGTGTGAGAGAATGTGACCTGACATGTTTACCTTGGGTCACTTGTCCTCTCATGGGCCGGGGACAGGGGCTCACACAGCTGCCACACGGGTGTTGAGGAGGGCTGAGAAGTTGCCTGCTCCCGGGGGTTAGCCCCAAGGACATTCTTCATGCTCAGTGCTCCCTGCATTTTCCTGACTTTCAAGTCTTTGCCTGTAGCCTTGGCCTTTCCACTGTCGTTGAGCACCCCAGCTCAGCCCCCTGCTTCTCATTTCCATCAGGACTTCCGCTTTGTCCTAGACTCAGATTTTCCTTCCTTTCATTCTTCCCTGGTCTCAGCACCTTGTGCATCTACTCAGAGGCTGTGAAGAGGAGCAACATGCCTTAACTTCCCGTCTCAGAGACCAGGCACCAAGTTAGCGGGGGGCGGGATTCAGCTGGGACCTTTGGGTTAGGCTTGACTTGGGGTGGGGGCTCCCACGAAGGCAGAAGTGCTGGTGGGGGCAGAGGGGATGCTTGTTGGGAAGGGGCCGAGAGGCAGATGGGAGGCAGGTGGGGGGTAGGGGGCAGCAAGCGCCAGCTCAGCCAGGTGGCAGTCGCCTTCCGGGCAGCTAGGTTCCTGCTGAACGTGGGCGGGTGCGAGGGGCCTCCCGCCGTCAGTGCCCCACCAGCACTGGCGTTTCCGTCCCGAGCGGCCTCATTTCTGTTTTCTCTTCTCTGATTCCAGCCCCTGACGTGCTTGGGTACAGAGTTTCATTGTTTTGTAGTGTCTCCCCTTCCTCTAAATGGAATCGTATTGGATTCCAATCATAATCCAAAACCTGAGTCACCCTTGGTACTTGGCGACGTCCTTCCCTTCCTCCTCGCTGACCAAGATCTCTTTGGGTCAGTGCGACTTTGCATCACACCTCCCCAGTTCCGGGACTACACCGCAGGCCTGCGCTGCCTCGGGGACAGCCGCACCCGGGGGGCGGGGATGAGTGGGGCGCCCGCCGGGGATTCCCGGCTGTGGTCGCACCCAACGTGCGCCCCGGGCGCCTGGGGCCTTCCCGAGCCGCCTCCTCCGCCCGGCGGGGTCCTGCCGGGCTCTGCAGGCCTGCGCTCCCAGCGGCCCTGCCTCCTCCTGGGCTTTCTCGAGTCCGCTGCCCGGGCGCGGGGTCTGGGCCCGACTCTGCGCTTGTCTGTCCGAAGTCCATCCTGGCGCCGGCTGGCAGGCGGCTCTTCCCTGGTTCTCCCGCGTGGCGGTCTGTCATCGGATGCATTCACCTGTCCCCATTCAGGGCCTCCCCACAGTCCCCTCTGCTTGGCAAGCTGCTCTTTGCACGGCTCTGGGGTCTCCTTAGGTCCACAGGGCAGAGATGGCGCCTGGCGGTGGTCCCCTGGCCGCTCCGTCTAAAACTTCATCGCCTGCCGCAGGCGCCAGGCTGTCTGTCTGTCCATCATAAAGTGAGCCGCAGCTTATTAATTAATTAAAAAAACCTATATGCCCCTTCCTGGAACTGAAGCCCCTGATGTTGGGATACACACAGTAAGCACTGAAGGGGACCGTCTCCACGTGGGTGGCAAACCCAGTTACACCCAGTTGGAAGCCCCCCCTGAGCAGACTCTGGGCCGCCTCCCTGCCTACTGCGGCGTCCGCTAGCTGCTTCTCCCCGTTCAGGTCCCGGTTGAGTCACAGATTGCGCATTGTTCACATCGGTTCCCGCTCAAAAAGTTTTCTCCTCCCCTGTGGGGACATTTCCAGAGTTGAACTAGGGGCTCCACCATCTCCCTTCCACGACTTCTCGCCCCGTTAACCTACTCCAACTGTGTGCGCTCCCGGGCCCGGGCCGGTCATTCCCGGTCCCTCTCTCAGCCACCACTTCCATTCACCGAGCCACGCCCTGCGCGCCTCGGCCTCGGACTCCTGCTGGCTCCGCTCCGCTGTTTCCTTCTGCCCGCGATGCCCCGCCCCACCCTGCATTGTCACCCCCACCCCCTACTCAGCTCCCCGCCCGCGGAGTGGACCAACGACCGCCTGCAGCAGCACCTGTGCTCTTAATCCAAGTGCAGTTTCACGCTCTCTCTCTCTTTCTTTTAAATCGGTGCATTATAATTATACATAATAGTGGGTCTCAATGTGACATATTCCTACATGCACATACAAATTGGACAACTTAATTCCTCTGAACCCCCCTTTCCCCTCCCCTTTGTCCCCCTCGGCCCCCTTCCTCTACTCAACTGATCTCCCTTCTATTTTCATGAGGATCCCTCTCCCTCTTTTCCTCCCTGTTGCCTCTCTAGCTTCCACGAATGAGAGAAAACATTCAACCTGTGACTTTCTGAGTCTGGTTTATTTCCCTTAACATAATCCTCTCCAGTTCCATCCATTTTCTTGCAAATAACACAGTTTTGTTCTTCTTTGGCTTAGTAAAACTTCATTATGTATATATACCACGTGGTATATATACATAATTTTTTTTTTTTGGACACTGGAAACTTAACCCAGGCATGTTTGACCACTGGGCCCCATCCCCAGCTCTTTTTATTTATTTTTTGAGCCAGAGTCTTGCTAAGTTTCTTAGGGCTTCACTAAGCTGCTGAGACTGGTCTTGAACTTGAGATCCTATTGTCTCAGCCTTCCATATTGCTGGAATTACAGGTGTGTACCATCACCCCCTTCATCTATTGATGGATATCTAGTCTGGTTCCATAACTTGCTATTGTAAATTGCACTCCATGAACATGGGCATGCTTGTATAGCTATTGTATGCTGGTTTGAATTCTTGGCTGTGGAAGTGCAGTCTTGGCCTCACCCAGTCCTAGTGAGCCTGAGCCTGTCCTTCCTGATATCTCATCTTGCACTGTAGAGCGCTGCTGACACTGGAAGCTCCCACAGCTCATACATCAGTTAGATGGCCTCCCAACCCCCAGGACTCTCCCTAGAGACTCTCTTTCTCTGGTTGTTAATACTTATTTTCTCCAGCCGACCTTAATTTTCAAGAGGTACAAGGATATTTTTTCCCCCTTGACCGCTTTCCCTTGTGGCTTTTGCTCAGGCTGCTCCAGCCAGGTCTTCTGAAGCCTCTCCACTGCTTCCCGGGTCTGGTTCAGGTCGCCTGTCTTCAGGAAGCCTTCCCTGACAGCTCTAACCAAGCATTCCCCTGGTACTTTCTTATGGTGCCATTGCCTGTTGCACTCTTGTTCTGTGAGCAGACTGCAGGGGCCAATCAGAGGGGGGCAGCCTTAGGGCCATTCCCATGGCAAAGCCACTGCTCCCTGCACTGTGTCATGAGTATGTATGGGCTGGTGACCAGCTCAGAAGAGAGCTGCAAGCTGAAGCCTCATCCCTTCTTCCTGCTTTAGTCCCCAAGTTGCTCCTATGGCTGGAAGAGGAGCATATACTGAAATTCAACTTCTGCAACCAGGTTTTATTCTTTTCTGCTGACACCTGGTAGGAATTTTGTCCTGGCGTTAACCAAACCCAGGTCTGGAAGTTCGTCCCAGTGGACAAAACAATGAATGTCTTGAGAGATGCATATAGGAAGGGGGAGGGAAAGGAGAGGGCTCCATTCAGGACCAAAGAACAGAGAAGAAGAATCTGCTTGAAAATCCACTTCTCAACTCCAGGAATAGAGGGTTACAGATAAAGGAGGAATGAGGGGGAGAGAGAGAGACTAACAGAGGGGAGGAATATTCATCTCTTTTTTGGAATAAGCAGAGATCTTTCAGCAACTAAGGGGCTTCCTCTTTTACCTCCTTTCATGGTTTGGTGTTTCCTGTCATGTGGCTGATAGGTGTCTTTAGCCTTGAAGTGGGTAGAGAGGAGCTGGGCAAGTCTAAGTCAAGATAACCCTGTGTTATAGTTCCAAACAAAATCTCTCTCAGTGTGCAACATGTCTACATGCAGAGCTGATGGGTTAAGGCTGCCAACAGAGACTTATACAACATAGACACAGAGACGTCACTCCTTTTCAGGCTGCTCCAGTCACCTGTCAGACTCCTGAAGGCCCAACTGAAGGGTCAGTGTTTTCAGCAAAAGTGGTCTTCACATCTCTGAAAAGTAATCTAGGCAATATTGTTACCATAACCTACATATTATAGGTAGTATCTGTAGCAAAGCTGGTGGAAGATTGTGTGACTTCCAAATTTAGTGATTGTTTAAAGTCAACTAAGAGCAAGCCAATGTAGAGGATTTGTTTTTATTTTTTCCTTAGTAACCCTAATGTCCATATTCTGTTAAGGAGTTGATATTACTGACATGTCACTGAAATAATTCCTCTACTTAAGATCTTGCAAAAACTCTGCATTTCAACCAAGGTAAAGCAAATGGAGTCTCTAAAGTAACCCTTGAGGCTCAACATGATAAGGTCCTCTCACTTCTTTAATTTTCTCCTCCCTTGCCTCTCTGTTCCAGTCACACTGGCCTTGCTATTCTTTAAATGCCAAATTCTTTACTTATGATCTATTTAGGCTTTTAAATTTCTTCTTCAGTATTCTGCATCTTTCCAAGAATTTGCTTGTTCCATCTGATTTGTTAAATTTATTGATATAAAGTGTTCATAACATTCTCTTGTAATTTTTAATATTTATTTTTTAGTTATAGTTGGATACAATACCTTCATTTTATTTATTTTTATGTGGTGCTGAGGATCAAACCCAGGGCCTCGCACCTGCTAGGCAAGCATCTACTGCTAAGCCACAACCCAGCCCCCCTTTATTATACTTTAAATCATTCAGTAATATTCTTTAGCCTTTCAATAACTGTAAGGTCTGTAGTAATATCTCCTCTTTATTTTTTCTTCTAATGTTGTACTTTTTTCCTAAACAGTCTAATTAAAGATTTATAAGTTTTATTATTTTTTCCCTGAAGAACCAAACTTCAGTTTCATTTACTTTTTTTCTCCTTCCTGTCTTCCATTGTTTTCATTTTCTTTTTATTCAATTCCATTGTAACCTCAAGATATTTTCTAAGTTTCTTTTTATTTTATTCTTTGATCCATGGGTTTTAAAAACAGTTATTTAATTTGCATCGTTTGATTCAGTTAGCTTATGTGCACTCAGACTTGTATGCTGAAAAATCCCAAGTTTTCAGGAAAGTTGTAAGATACTCAGGAACCCCTCACTTAATTTTGCTATAGTCTGTTCTGCTTCTCTTTCTCCCTTTCTGTATTCTTGCTAGTAATGCAAGATAGTAGATTTGAGAATATATTGCTGACATGATGACTTGTTTTCAACCTCTAAATACTTCAGCACATGTATCTTAAGAACAAAGATAGTCTCTTTATAACTACAGCACAATTAGCAAATGCAGGATATTTAATTGTGATATATATTTTTATATCTAAAATACTCTATATACTAATTTCACCAATTTTCCTGTTAAGGTCCTTCCTTATGACTTTTTTCACCTTATCTTACATTCACCCAGAATCACGTCTTGCACTAAGTTGCCTTGTCTCTTTAGTTTTCTTTACTTTGAAACATGTCCTTAGCTTTCCTTTGTTTTTCATGTCATCAATGATTTTGATAAATACAGATCAAAAGGTTTCTCAATTTGGGTTTATTTCCTTCTGATTAGAGTCAGGTTTTGTTTGACAGAAATAACTGTCTGATTTGTGTCCTTCTTAGTGCATCACATCAGAAGGTACACAATATCAAATAGTCCCATTCCAGTGATGTTTGTTTTGATCACATAATTAAAGTAGAATTTGACAGATTTCCCCTATGTCTTAGTTATTTTTGGATTTGTTTTATGCATTATGTGTAAAAGTTTTTTAGTGATAATTTGAAGCTTTGCATGATGTTATCTTCTTCCAGAGGAGATTTAATTTTGCTTTTGGCAGATGGATGGGCTAGGGACAGATCACCTTATTTTTGTCAGAGATTGAAATGACTTATATAGCTGGGCTTTAGTCTTTTAAAGCTTGTCTAATTTTGGTTCACCTTTCTTCTAAGACGTTAGCAATTACATGTTCCAACCAACAGTGTTAGGTGTTTGTGGGTGCCCTTTCTCTTGGGTGGACCCAGAAGTCTAACTTTATTCTCCCAGCCTTTGAGGTGACCAGAATCTCTGTTCCTTCTAAACCTGTCCAGTACTGCTTTTGCTTTCTAAGTTGACAATTGCTTCAAGGGGAAAAGTGGTCCCAAATGTTGGGCTTACTTTCCTTGACTTTGCATCTATTTTATATTTTGGACTGAAAGATACTGCTTTGGTAGATTGCTGATACTTTCAAATCAAATGTTACTATATTTATTTTCCAATTGTTTTTGGTGGGAGTGTTCATCCCAAATCAACTCAGTTTAGAACCTTTACAATAATTTAAAAATGATTATTGGGCTGGGGTTGTGGCTCAGTGGCAGAGCGCTTGCCTTGCACATGTGAGGCACTGGGTTCAATCCTCAGCAACACATAAAAATAAACAAAGGTACCGTGTCCATCTACAACTAAAAAAGAATATTTAAAAAATGATTATTGATCTCCCCTACACTGCTTGTGCATAGTAAACCAATAATTAATAAAAAAGTAAATATGGCTACATATGGGAAATCAAAGTCAAGTTCACAAATGCAATTAAAAAAGTAATAGTGTGTATAAAAACAATGAAAACCTGGCACTATATGTATGAGTAGAAGGAAACTAAATTTCTGAAACTTAAAAAGTCAAGCGAATCCTCTTTCAGGGGTAGCAAGCTCATTTTATTTGACTATTGTCATATAGTTGATAAATATATATAAATCAATGATTTTGTGTGCATACTATAACCACATTTCATAAATGTGGGCTATTATCTTTTCTGAGAAACAGAAAACTCATGATAACTTTGTTATTAGAAAAGAACATTTTTCCCTAGGACCTTAGCAACATTAAATTAATTATAATCCAAGTAAGAAAAAAAATCATTTTTTTTGTGTCATTCTGGGACAACAGTGTCTTTACA